GAACAAGCTCAAGACTGCAGCCTCAATGGCTAGGAGACATATGTATTTATTATTGAAGGAGTTTTACAGGAGTAGGATGGGTGAGGGGAAGTAAGTAAAAGATTTTACTCTAAAAGGTAAAGCATTCAAAACATAGGAACAATAATCATAAAACATGATGTCTGTTTTGTTTAGGTATAAATAGTCATAATCCTTAGAATGAGGAAGTCCATTTGTCTGGTGCATTTTCTCCTTAGATCTTGATTACCAGGAAGGGTCTTTTGGATGAGGGGGTTCCCAGGAATCTTAATAACCTCAGTCCCAGGCCAGCTTGATAACTTCAGTCTCAGACCAGCCTGAGAACTTGAGCCCCAGGCTAGCTTGAGAACTTCAGCCTCAGGCTCGGGTGGAAGCAGATTGCCAGTTACAAAGGCCTAGATAGAAATCCTGTCTGGTTAAGTAAAGATACGATTAATATGTACTAAAGTGGAATACCTATATTATCTCTGGGGTAATCCACAGCTAAGAGGGTGAGTCTAATGTCTACATTGGAAAGGAATGTGGTCTTGTGAGCAGCTTGACTGCTCTGAGAGGAGCTTCAGCATTCTTTGTTATTTTCCAGGCAGGTGGAGTGAGTCTCAATTCCCGCTCGCAGCCACTTTAGGAGTCTGCATTCTTTTTAGGATTATTAGTTGGTTTTACTGTAAAAGTTTCAGTAAGGCTGGGGGTGTTATTTTGCCCTTATGGGGTACCGGGGTACCTTAATGACAATAAGGCCCATGGCTGAGAAATTGAGTGCAGGTCAGAACAGCAACACAGTGGAGAATTGGAACTCGTAAACTGTTGACCTTGCTCAGTTTCTTCCCAGCCCAGTCCTTCCTTTAGGCATGGGAGGTAGCTCATTTATACCCAGCCTGTGTTGACTGCATAGTCCCAACAGTAAGAGTCTAATCTTCGGTAGGGCCTGGCTCCAAAGTATACCACTGCTTTCTGTCATAAAGGTGCAAGGAGTTGGACCAGCTGGTGGCATGGTGGTTAACGTGGCTAGGTCCCAAATGCTTGACTATGCTGTTTGAATCCTGAACTCAGTGGCTTGAGAAAACTCGTGTGTGTGTGTGTGTGTGTGTGTGTGTGTGTGTGTGTGTGTATGCCCAAAATCCTGAACGAAATGGAGGAGAAAGGATTCCAATATGACCAGAGATAGGGAGTGTGTTCTCATTTTCCCTCTGTCTTTCTCTCTCCAGTGAGTACACATATCCTCTGGTAAAAATTAAAAAAAATAAAAAGATGTAAGACGTTTATTTTTCCTTTGGATGAAGCCAGTTAGCAGTCACAAACAACTACTGACCTTCCCTTCAGTTCTTTTACTTTTTTTTTTTTTTTGAGAGAACAATCTTTGCTACAGAGCACATTCACTCACTGGAGAGACAGAGACAGAAAGAGAGAAATCATCCCCAGGGGGATGGCAACACTGCAATCCCCTTTCCTCCATTTTCCTATCAGGATCTTGGGGACACACACACACATTCCCAGTGTGAGTTTTAAGCTGCCGGATCCAGGCATCGAACTGTTGTCAACTATGTGGGAGACCAGTGACATAATTATTACACCATCTGCTGGTCCTGCCTCCAGTTCTTTTCCTAGCTTGCTCCAGTCCTCAAAAGCCTTATCACATCCTACTTCAGCAGAATTGAATTTAGACTTAAATCTGATTTCTCCCCTATTTCAGTCACCATAAGTAAAGCCTTCTTTGCCCATTTAACTTTGCCCAATGCAATTTTTAATTTGACACTACTCACACTTTACTAATAAAGAATCTCAAGCACAGAAAGTTTGAGTAACTTACCTCAAGTCACACAGCTAGTGAATGACTAGATTCCAGTCGTGCCTCTTTACTGACATAAATGCTATGTATCAGGGCTTCTGTCTCATCTGAACCCTTTCTAGAATAAGCCTTGCTATATTAAAAATACTTCTGTGCTATTATTTAATTTGCTTGTACCCAACATAGTAGATGGTGTAGAAATCTGCATCTTTATATTATGCTTTAATTAACTAATTAAAATATTTTTCTTTCTTTCTTCCATGAGTGAGAGAGAGAGAGACAAAGAAACTAAGAGGCACCTCATAAGGTCTTCATGATGTGATTTACTGCCCACTTCACCCAGCTCTTGTTCATTGGCTGCAGGTGCCTGGGGTGTTTAGGGATGTCTCTGGACATTAACTCAGAACCTTCCCATGTGGATCACCCTCCCAATATCTTTGTGTTATAATTGAGAATTTAGGGAGATTAAACACCTTGCCTAAATCAAATAGCTGACTGTGAATGATAAAATTAAACACATTTGTTTCTATGAATTTAGAGCCCTAAGGTTTAGGGGTCAAATCTTCACTACACTCTTGAGCTATTTGTGAATCTAAGAAGAGAAAGATATGAGAGCTGGAGATGATTACCTATCTAATTCTTGTATTTTAGCAACTCGGGAAGCCTATGCCCCCTTCCAGTCACCTTTGGGCCTTTGATCCTTTTCTCTTCATTTCAGCAGCTCCCACAGTCCTCTTTCACCCAGCAGCTTCCACAGGCCTTTTTGTAGTTCAGGAAAGGAATCCCCTAAAAACCTCCCCTCATTCCCAGCCCTTAGCCCATGTTACTTTCCTTTAAACCAGCTCCCTGTGAAGATCCTAGTTTTCCTGGCCTCCCCTTAGATCTCCATTAAGAACTCCAATATGCATACATGCTTGTCACTCTGTATTTGGTGATCAATTATGCACTCTAGCCTATTTTCTGGAAGGGGGCTATTATGTCCCAGACTGATTTCTCTTCCTTTCACCGAGCTTCCCAGGTGATGCAGGATAACGGTGGGAATGTGTGTGGGGTCATGGCAAGAATAAATCAGTGCTGAAGGGATGATTGGGGGTTGGGAAAAAATGCTTGGACAGTGCAGAGAATTGATGTAATAGAAACCAAGTGCCCTACTCAAGGGCAGTAGGTTCTAGTCCCGACTACCAGCATGTGATCCTGCTCACATTAATTTCTTATGGTCTATTATTTCTTTACACTCAGATAACTGTTCTTATCCTTTGAAACCATGATAATTTATGATTCTCAAGTTTCAGTTTTCCTACTGAAAGTAGAGATACTAACTCTTGCCCTGCTAGGCTCACAGGGTTATACCACCTCAGTTTGATGGACCAGACAGCTCGAGAACAAGTTACAGCCTGGATGTTGGAGTGTTACCGAGATGGCAGTGGTTGAATTCCACTTACAGTAAGGAACTACCAGATCACTGCCCATTCCATTTTTCCTGACAATGTGGGCTTTCTGCCATCAGCCTGGCTTCTGTCTTGAAAATCAAAGGTACACTGAAACTGTGGATGGTCCGGGGACAATCATCTCTTAGAGTTCTGACCCACCAGCCCTTATGACCTCAGGATCTCCTACAGCTGGGAGCTAGGAGGGTTGGCAGAGGAGCCAGGGCTCCTTGGTAGCCAACGGGAGGAGGCAGAGATGAGGCAGATGCTGGACATGAAGGACAAAGGAACCCTTTGCTCTCAGAGCTAATGATAGAAACTCAGGAAAAAGATTAGGACTCATCACCTCAGTTCTTTGCAATTTGCTTGTTGGAGCATGTGTGTGGAAGAGCAGGGTGCATTATTTTTCCTTCTCTCCCTGGGATCACCTGTGTGGGACCCATCCATTAGTTTTCATATGCTGTGTGTCATGGGATGCCAGAGACAGAGAGAGCCCTAGGGAACAGAGGAGGTTATTTTGACCTTGCCCTGCCTCCAGAATATGATCCCCACCTTGACAAACTCCTAGATGCCTTCAGCTACCAACTCTATATCTAGAAATAGCTTGAAACTGAATGTGGGGATTATCTCATTCCATAGCCCCAACACATTTCTGTAACAAGATGGGATCAAATGTACTGTTGGGTTTTCAGGCTGTGTAGATGAAATAATGTCAGATTCTTCTTTCTTGTGACCAAGAAGGCCTTAATGTGGCCCTTAGTTTGGCCACACAGGTTTCTTCCTTATTCTAGAACCCTGAGCCCTCTTAGAGCACTTATGTTAGAAAATTTATTTTAAGTCCTGTCTCTGACTCTCTGAGATATTAATCTGCTTTCAGGCTTTTTTCATTTTTATATCCAGGAATGTCTTTCTCCATGACTTATGAACAATTTATTTGAGATGTAAACATTAAGGAAGATAATGCCCCAGTCTCAGTTTCTGTGGAAGAGAAGAATGAGAGAGTGGGTGGGGGTACTCTCTCCAAGTTGTAAAACTATGTCCTTCCATGAAGATAGAAGAATCTTCATTTTTATTTTGGGTAAGGGTAGTTAGTAAACACAGATGGTCTAAAATTTCCTCCTACCACAGCTCTTAAAAACTCTCCAGCTTGTTGTCTCTGCTTAGCTAGGTATCTCCCCTGTTGCTAGCAATGGTATCAGAATAAAATCAACTTCTGTCTACTTATTTCTGGTGTTTTATTTATTTTATTTCATTTTATTTATTTATTTTGCTCGTTTGTTTTGTTTTACATTTCCTTCACATTTTCTCAAATCTCTCTCTTTTGGTTTTTGTTGTCTTGCAATTTATCAGGCAACAAATTAATACATTACCGGAAATGGGTGTATCTTACCTCTTCCATGTTACTAACAGTTTCAAGAAGGAGAAATGTGTCCTAAATCCTCTGTACCATGTACTGCCCAACACAACACTGGATGTGCTCAAGTCGTTTGCTAGTAAAACATCCTCTCCAAAGCAAACCACGGCTGTTAACGTCCTTTACAAATATGCCACAATTTAAAACATATTTTATTTGTATTATTTTCTGCTGGCAGAAACACCACAATTTTTTAAAGCGAGATTTTTGCTATAGGGCATGTGCACTTGCTGTAGAGACAGAGAGAGATAGATGGAAAGCGAGAAATCACCCCCAATCCCAGAGGAGATGATCATGCACATGCACATCCCTTCTCCATTCTCTTCTTGAGATTCCAGGCATGCATGTACACATGCCCCATGTGAATTTTAAGCTGCTGGATCCAGAACTATACCTGTGGTCAACTATGTGGGAATCCAGTGACGTAACCATTATGCCATCTGTTGGTCCCATAAAATATTGTAATTATTTTGTCATAGCCAAAAGGGGTACTTTGAATCCCACTTATCTCTTTTTTTAATGAAGATACAAAATGTTAGGTAGAGAGAGAAGTTTGGTTTAGGGGGAAGGCTTCAAGACTCTGGTATTGTGGAAGATTTTCTGGAATTTAATTAGGAGCACATGATGTAAGTTGAAGGAATTCCACCAATGGTTGCACCAGAGATTTAGAGCTAAAAAGTGCAATTTGTCCTTCCTCTCTTACCTTGAGACTACTGAGAACATTCCAGTATCAACCCTTGTTCCCCAAACTTAAAAACAATTAAATACCTTATGCGTCCTGGCTGATATTAAAACTTGGGAGAAAATGAAATGTCTGTCCAGTTTACCACCATCCATATCATGCATTCAAATATCCACATGGTAGAGAAGTGAAATGATGTGCCTAATGTCTTTCTCGTGCTTACAGTCTGTGACGCCATTAGGATGTATACTCAAAGCCTCTCAGTCTTGTCTTTCCAGTGTACCATGTTTCTTTTCTCCTACTGCATTCAGGGGTTTGGAGAGTCAAGAAACAGGAGCTGGAGGTTGAGGGCAATGTAATTTCCTGTGAGAAGAGGTGGGAATTAGGCTCTTCTATGAAGCCACTGCTGTCAGAGCAATTGCTGTTGTGGTGGTGGAGAAAACCTGCAAGGGAGTGAAAAGGTAAAACATCATGCATTTTATTATCTATGGATGGTAATGTGTATAATATCCACAGTTGGGCTGTTGTGAAATGTATTCATGTTGGAAAATTCACTTTACAAGCTAAGTGATGTATAGTGATTGAATGTATAGAAGAAATTAAAATAAAATAAAATATATTAAATATAAAAAAGGATAAAAATCATGTCTTATTCCTTAGAACTTATAGAAGTATACATTTGCATGTAAAAGTATATTTTTCATATTTATAAAATTATTTACTTTTGATTTTTGTATTTTTTTGAGAGAGATTTTTGCTATAGGATGTGTATATACATTCAGCAGAGAGACTGAGAAAGTCAGAGAAAGTGAGAAATCATTCCTCCCCCCAGGAGGGATGGCCATGCCATAATCCCTTATCCCCCATTCTCCTCTAGGGATTTTGGGCGTGCACGCACACATGCACATACGCCCAGCGTGAGTTTGAGCCACTGAGTCCAGGACTTGAACTGCAGTAGGTGAGAATCCAGCAATGTAACCATTATGCCATCTGGTAGTCCCTACTGTTGATTCTTGAACAACATGGATTTTAATTGGAGTCCATATATATGGGATTTTTTCAATAAATATATTAAAACACTACTGTAAATGTACTGCACAGTGCCGTAACTGTATTTTCTTCTTATTACTTTATTTTTGAAAATATTCTTTCTTTTCTCCATGAGAGAGAGAGTGAGACAGAGAGTGAAGGAGGTAGAGAAAGCATTCCTCAAAGGAGTGTGAGCATGCTGCAACCCCTTCTCCTCTATTTCTCCATTCTGTTGGGATTTGGGGGATGTAGGCACATGCGTCCAATGTGTTTTCAAATCTTTTTTTAATTTTCAAAAACTTTTAATTTACACTCCATCATCATACATCTCTATAGTGCACATTATAGTTTTTCAACATATACATGTGATGCATGATAATCAACTCAGGTATATTGCCAAATGCATGATATATATAAAGAGTTTTTTTTTTTTTTGAGAGGTTTTTGCTATAGGGCGTGTGCACTCACCAGACAGACAGAGACAGACAGAGAGATAGAAAGCAAGAAATCACCCTCCCAGACGGGATGGTCATGCTGCAATCCCTTCTCCTCCATTCTCCTCTCGGGATCTTGGGCACGCACGCATACGCGCCCGGCGTGAGTTTTAAGCGAATGGGTCCAAGACGCGAACTGCGGTTGACTATGTGAAAGTCCAATGAAGTAACCATGATGCCATCTGCTGACCCCTCTTTGTATAGTTTTAAATACCAACTGGTATAGTTAAATGGCCCTATCTCGAATTTCCTCTCCTCCTCCCAACCCAGGAGAGGCAAGGGAGCAGGCCTCAGAAGATACCTTCAAGGCTCCTGAGAACTAGTGATTGCAGGGAAAAATGAAATGAAGATTTTATACTGATAATTCAGCCTCCAGCCCACAAAGCGGTCAACTACACAGGAGTCCAGTGACATAGCCATTACGCTAACTGCTGGTCCCCATATGCATAATTTTCAACAGAGAGTTTTACATTCTTTTTCTGTTAAGTGCCCTCTTACCTACCCTCTGCCATTTACTACCTTTCTTTATAGTCTCTGGTATCTACACTTACCCTCCCTACTATCATATCTTCAGATCTTTCAACATTTGTACTTTTCCTTTTTAGAGAGAGATCTTTGCTATAGAGCATGTGTGCTCTCTGAAGACAGACAAAAAGAGAGAAAGTAAGAAATCACCCTCAAGGGGGATGGCCACAGTGTAATCCCTTCTCTTCCATTCTCCTCTCGGGATTTTGAGCACACACACATATGCACCCAGTGTGAGTTTCAAGTCACTGAGTCTTGGACTTGAATAGCGGTTGACCATATGGGAGTCCAGTGCCACAACCACTATGCCACCTGCTGGCCTTCAATGTCTGCACTTTTTTCATTTTTTTTGGGGGGGGGGAGGGAAGGTTTTGTTATAGGGCACATGAACTCATCTGAAAGACAGAGAGAGACAGAGAGACGGAAAGCGAGAAATTACCCCCTGCACCTGGCGTGAGTTTAAGCCACTGGGTCCAGGACTCAAACCACGGTCGACTACATGGGAGTCCATTGATGTAGCCATTACGATATCTTCTGGTCCCCAATGTCTGCACTTTTAATCTTAGATACTTCCTGTCCTTGGATTCCCTGTCCCATACTTTATAGTGATGACTCCTTAGAAAAAATAGAGAACCCAATAAGCAGACATTTCTTTGATCTTTTTCTCCAGATGACCAATAAAATTATACTCACAGCTATCATTTTTTCCTTTCCTTTAATTTTGAACAAAGATCTGTACAATTTCTTCATGGCTGTACCTTCCAACAGTGCTTTAGATGTCAACCCATCCCATTTCTCCAGTGACCTTTATCATCATTATCACTTTCTTCCTTGTTTGTGGCTGGTCCCATTCTATTAATTCTTCCCCTTCAGAAAACATATTGGCTTAAATTCTCCCTACCCCAGGGGAAAAATAATACAAAAGCACAAAAACACTCCCTAGAGTCTCTCCACCCCTTTACCTACTTTCTTTTTTCCCTTTCTTATTTTCTTTTTACATTCATATTTTAATGCCCTGTCACACAAATAAAAATAGTCTTGCCAAGGTGACTGATCATAATCAAGCTGCAAATCCACGTGTCTTCACATTCTTTTTCCATCTGGATATTTTTTGGCACATATTATGAAGACTACACTCTTCCTCTTTTGATTTATTTACATAATTTCTTCCATAAGACAGACAAAGAAGTAGAGAGAGGCATCCTACCATGAATTACCCCAGTCCTCAGTCAGCCAGGATCACAGGCCCGTGCATACTCGGCATGTATAGGGAGACCTTCAGAACACAGGACTCTCCTGTAGAGCTTCTGAATCACAGAGCATTGTGTTACTGCTGTGTCTCCACGGCTGGTCTGTAATCTCCTTCTTGAAACAGACATCACTTGGCTTCTATTTGTAAACCTTTTTTTTTTTTCCAATCAATATGGCTACTCCTTTATGAACATCTTATTCTTTTCTTTTTTGAGAGGTTTTCACTATAGGGCGCATGCGCTCGCCAGACAGACAGAGAAAGACATAGAGACAGAAAGTGAGAAATCACCCCCCAGGGGGGATGGTCACGCCGCAATCCCTTCTCCTCCATTCTCCTCTCGGGATCCTGGGCATGCATGCACACGCGCCCGGCGTGAGTTTTAAGCCACCGGGTCCGGGATGCAAACCACGGTCGACTACGTGGGAGTCCAGCGACATAGCCATTACGCTAACTGCTGGTTCCCAACATCTTATTCTTGATCCATCTTTAAATATTAATGTTTCTAAGAGTTTGGTTTTTACTTCAGCTTCTGATACTTCGTAGTTTCCCTGGGTGACCTATCTTTTCTCTTACCTTCACCTACTATACATAAGTAAGCCTCAAACTCCAAAAAGCTCTCTCATCAAATTCAAACATATTGCTGCTGTCTTATTAAATATGTACAGGGATCTTTTGGACCTCCCTGTAATAGTATTTCAGAAGTACATCAAACTTACAATGTACAAATCTGAACTCACCAAATTGTTCCAAACTTGAAAATAGGCGAACGAGATTACCATATGTTTTCTCAGTATACTGTTGATCTTGACATTCTATTTATTGGGCTATTTTACAACTCTGTAGAAGAGGCTACCATACATATTTATGTTGGGTAAAGATGCAAATTAATTCTGTCCAGTGGGAACCAGTAATGCCAGTTTATGATGTCATTGAATGTTAACCAGTTTTCTGTCTAACAAGGCAATCTACTATGTGGTCTATCTCTAAATGAAAAAGAATGAAAACAGTCTACAGAATTGATAGAATACTATCAATTAAATATTCACATCATAGGAGTTCCAGAAGAAGAGACAAAGCTAGAAACTAAAACTTATTCAATAAATAATAATTAAAAGCTTTAAATATCATTACTTAATAACAACTGAAAGTATTGAAAAAGATAATAGATCTATAGATGACATATAGATAGAAGATGTTTAGAGATTTCCGGTCAAATTTAACACAAATAAATCCTCATCAAGGCATATAATAAAAATGTTGAAAGTCAAAGATAAGGAATTTTGAAAAAGCAAGAGAAAAACATCAACTTATATATAATAGAAAAACCCACCTGACTAACAGGGGATTTCTCAGTAGAAACCAACAAGCCTGAAGAGAATTAGATGTTATATTCAAAATACTCAATGGGGAAGAGGGGCACCTGCCAACCAAGAATTATATACCAAGCAAAACTATCTTTTAGAACAGAAGGAGAAATAAAGTCTTCTTCAGATAAGCAAAAACTGAGGGGGTTCACTTTTACTGGATCAGCCTTACATGAGATCCTTAATAAGATCTTACATATGGGAATAAAAAGACAATAACTTGCAAACATTAAAAAACACAAAAATACCACATATGCAGTAGACTAGACATAAAAATTAGAAATAGAAAGGAATCAAACCCCTTTGCCATAATAAATTTCCAGACTGCAATAATAGACAATATAAGAGGAAAAAGGGAACAAAAAAAATACACAAAACAACCAGAACACACCTAACAAAATAAAAGGAGTAAGTTCTATCTATAAGAACCCTCAATATGGGACCAGCAGATGGTGTAGTGGTCACATCTCTAGACTCCCACATGGCTGACTGTGGTTTGAGTCCTGGACCCAGTGGCTTGAAAATCATGCTGGGCATGTGTGTGTGCATGCCCATGATCCCAGGAGGAGAATGGAGGAGAGGAGATTGTGGCATGGCCATCCCTCTGGAGGGCAATTTCTCACTATCCTTTGCACTATCTCTGTCTTTTTCTCTCTCTGACAGGTTGGTGAAGTGGAGAAAAAAGGATTGTGGTATGACCATATCCTGTTAAGGGGTGATTTCCCTCTGTTTCTCTTTCTCTAGTGAGTACATACATCCTCTGGCAATTAAACAAACAA